GAGAGAAGGGAGGGGAATGGAGGGATATAATTCTCCTACTTTCTCCCCCCTCCTCTCCATTCAAACTGTTAGTTAACAATGGAAACTGGAGAATGGAAATCTTACCTGCTGAATACCCATTTCAATGGTTAATCCGACTCCCAAATCAGCAGAACAAGAAGATGAAAGATAGTCACTGACTTTCAAGCGAGGATATCTCTCAATACACTCATCTATCACTGGTGCCAGAGCTTCCACTAGAGGAAAGCTCAGTGCATACCCTGTTCCTCCAAATGCCATGTCAAAGGAAAAATCATAGTTGGACCTAACACACTCAGAAATACTCCCAATGAAATTGTATTTACTATGTCATACTTTAATAGCACATCAACTAAATTATCTACAAAGAGTAAAGTGTCATCGTCTCCCATTACATACCATCTCACATCTTTGTTGTCTCCTAACCTATAGGCCTCTATAATAGAACGAAAGTTCGAGTCATCATGTTGAGATATACTCAAATTTGTTTGTCAGTGATCATCTTTTGTCATCATGTTATGGCTGATTTGGGAGTTCCTCTGACCATGGAAATTGGTTTTTATCAGGTATGTTTCCTCACCTCAAAACAAAAACCTTAAGCCTTTAGACAAAAGAAGATGATTAACATGCAAAACATGATTCCAGTTCCTATAGTGTTAATACACAACTAGATTTAGGAATTATGCATGAAATTGAATCTAATACCTTGTGTTTTTGTATTTTTATTATTTATTCATTTATTTTTTACAACACAAGGAATTAATCTTTCAATGGCTAGTTGATTAATCTGTGTTATAAAAAAAGATAAAAAAAAACACTCCTGTAAATTAGCTCCCAAAATGCGGTTTTCTAGTGAAAAATTACTAAAGAACAAAAGGCAATACGGTGCAAAATTAAAATGTGATACCTGTAGTTAGTGTGGATCATATCTCAGTGTAGGACTTGTTCTCAGTTAAAACAAAGGCTACTAACTAGAGATGGTTCAGAGCCCACGAACACTCTGGAGGAGGCACCTGTAAGAAGCACATGGCTTAACTTGTCCAGTAAATCTCAAGGAACTCTTCACCATTTCCTAGCCTTGTTAGGGGGAATTTGAAATTACAGGATACTCAAGCAGATATAAAGTATTTGAACAGACATTCTGTAGAGAGATAGAGCATATATAAGCCATTAAAGGCACCCATCTAAACCATACACTTAAACTTGGAATCATTGTTTCCGATGATCATATGGATGGATGAGCAGATACTGGGTTTCAACAGAACTAGAATGCTAAAGTGCCACTATTTTTTTTCTTTTTATTCTAATTGCATCAAGTAGGTATCATCTACATTATTCGTGATCATCAAAAGAAGATAATAATGGAAGTGTTTCTGCAACCTTTGGGGGTGGGTTGGAGGGGGAAGCTACATGATTAATGAAATGTTTTTGGAAACATGGGAAGGATTTACAACCATTACAGATTAGTTTTCCCCCTTTTATGATGACTCTAAGAAGGTAAGACCAGGCAACAAGTTAGACTCCAACTAGACTTGCTTCTTTTTCCTCTGAGCTGAAGCTGAAAAAATGCAGTTTACGAATCACGAGGGCCATCAAATGACTGTGTCTTTCTCAGATTCCAGTGGAGGCCATCGTGGATACTGCGCAGAAAATCCTTTGTGGAATCAACTGGACATGCTGTAGGCACGGGCCAAGGTGCCATGCTGCATACAAGTGCATCCCCAGGTTCTAACTTTTTTCTGTCCTTGCCATCAAATGATGCCCAGGCAGGGCTTCTGCTATTAAAAGGTACTTGTACACGCACTGTTACGTGCTCAGGCAATATCAGAGGCCGGAAGGATAATGAATGTGGACAAATGGGTGTAAACAAGATGCCTGGAACCTGTAGGTGCAACAGAAAGAGTATATTACATCTTTACAATCAGGACAAGATCTTCACACTAAATAGATTATAACAAGGTGAAACTTATTGCCTTTAAGTCTCAATTTATTTCCATGCTTTTTTCCAGTTTAACTAAGACCAAAGTAGAATGTACCTGTGGATGGACCATTGAACCTCCAGCTGCCAAGGAATATGCAGTGCTACCAGACGTAGTTGATAAAATTAAACCATCCCCTTGAACACAAGTGACAAAGGAGTTGTCACAGTAGCACTCAAGATTTGTGAGGAATGATGATATGCCACGGTCAATTGTAACCTCATTCAAGACTAGAATAGGCTCTTCAGTTTCATATTCATTTTTAGCTGCATCCCTAATAACAGTGCACTGCAAGCGGTGTCGTAAGGTTATGCTGATGGGCCCCCGTAGAATTGAATCAAGGCAATCTCTGTAATGCTCAGTATCTAAAAAGAATGTTAAGGAATATTTATCATTCAGATGTGGGAGACTGGGAGCATTAACAAGTAATCTCATTTAAAAAAAAATTTACTGTTCTCAATTATTGTAAATTTAATTAACTTTTTTTTAAAAAAAATTTTATTTCTAACTTTCATTCAAAGAGGATACGGAAGGGGGTCATAAAGCCCAAAGACCCTAAAGAAAACGGGACAATTGGAGGAACGGGACCCTTGAACATTGATGCTGCCTGCAAAGAAGAAGTAAATGATTGAAGACTACACTGGGAAAGAAGCAGGAAGAAAAGGACAGACTTGTTCTTGCTGCATCTTGTTGCAGCATGTTCCACCAACAAAATAAATTCTAAAGCTACAAAAGATTAGTAACATCATTTCAAATTTGGCCTCAGTCAACTTGAAAGAACATACCCATAAAACAGTTCCATCTCCACCAAGTGTTATCACGAGGTCAACTTGTGTGTGCAGAAGCATAACTTCACTCTCTGCAAAGCAACATGGTAAACTTGAAATAGGAAAATTGAAACTGCCATCTAGATATCAGCAAAGAAGCAAGTCAGGATATTCCCCAACTGAAAACCATAGTACATTTCCATTATTAGCACCTAAGCCACGAAAACATATTAGATTTATTACCATAAACAATGGTAGAGTCAATTTCTTTCTTCTTCTTTTTTTTATTATTTTTATTTATTACCATAAATGTAATTTGCAGAAGAGAATGTGAATTTGGAACCTCATCCTTGATAAGTGGTATTCAAATCAATATGCCAAAAATGACTTGCGCTCACCTTCTTTCCATGTCTGTACAAAGTTGAAGTAAGATGACTCTGTTAGAAGCTCAGCTCTCACACGTGGCTCCACATAAATGTTTAACTTTTTATGCTCTTTCAACCATCTGGGTATGAGAACATAATTTGGCTATAAGTAACAAAGGCATGCAACAACCAACAACATAAGAGGCAAATAAGGCACACTAGTGCTAAGCTTGACCAGCAAGCATATAATTTTTTTTTCTTGATTGACTGTGATAGAATATCATTAATAGAAAGTATGGTGATAAAATGTTCTCAGAACTGCAAAACATAAAAACCATATCATTTAAACATCCACACCTGACCATTTCTGCACAAAGAATCCGAACAGAAACTGAATTTGGTTTTGTCAAAATAAACACAGTCTGGGGATCAGATTCCCACTTCAAAGAAATCTGGAAAGGAATATGGAATAGTTAGAAAAATAATAGAAGGTAGAATAAACAACTGCATGCGTCAAAAGACAGCATCAGAGAGAATTTAAAACAAAATAATGCACAATGGTATCATGCTCAAATAAAAAAGACTCAGATTCAGCGGAAAAAAGCTCGTTTGAGAATGGAAAGTAATACCTGTTTACTGCTGCGCTCTGCAGTAGTAATGTTTCCTCTTTCAAAAGAGACAACATCATGTTTGTGCTGATCACCATTTGCACCCTTGCACCGCCATGAAAGTTTAAAAGATGCCTGCCAGAGAAACACAGTTCTCAATGATGGTTTAAATTGAGTTTTTGTAGCACAGTTACCTGGTTCATATCACAGCTTAAAAAAAACAACATTTTTAGTTATTCTTTCTAAAGTAATTCCATAGGCATAGCTAAGCTGTAACAGCTCTTCGTGACTAACCAATTTGTGAGAATAAATGAATGCGATGATAACAAAGAGAGATAGCAAAATACTACCATAAGATCAAAGAAGCAACGAAAAGAAGGATAAAACCTTCCTAAATTCTTTCAAATGTAAACAAATAACCTAACAAATGTCAGGAAAAAGTGATTTTTAAAATTTGATTAAAACAGATATACTCCAACTAAATGCAAACTCATTGATGCTTTTGAGAAATAATGTATTAAAAAAAATTAAAGAAAAAAAATAGAACACCTTTCTCATCATGATGTTATTATTAGCCACATTGGAACTGGAATCAGATTCCCCATTGTGAAGAACCTCATGGGAGCAAATCCCATGCTCCATACAACCTTCCTCAGAATGCTCATTTCGTCCATTCTGCCACACTTGTTCATTAACCAAATTCCCTGCCCTCACACCATCAAAGTTACCAGTATGATCTCCAGGTAATTGCTCTGCATTCCAAGTTGAAAATTTCTTATTAAGAACAAGCATTAAGTCAAAACTGTAAAACATTAAATTTTCATAAAGGACTCAGAAGGACTCCATACTTGCTGAACATACTCAGATCAGTGTACATATAAAGACTTACAAGTAAATATGAAGAAAAATTATGATATAATGGAAGAACACTCAATAAGAACTTAAGAAACAGAAATCATGATTTCATTTTTCTCAAAAATTTAATGCAACTTAATCTAGTTTGTAGACTACTATAATTAGTTTCTAGGAGGACTTAATAGGGAGTGTTGACCTGTTTTAATAGTTGATCCTCATTTCATCTACCTGGCCTCATAATTGCTCCTCATGATTGAATCATTTTGCAGACCAACCATTCACTTTTTAAAATTTTTAAGACACCTCAAGCATACAAAAATAATGAATGACAATTATTATTCACAGAGGTTAGGTTAAGATGTTTTGTTTACACTCCTAATTGCTACAAAATAGCAATGCTTTATGGTAGTAAATGATGAACAGTAAAAAAACAAATATCCATGAAGCAACCGCATCAGAAACTTGTAGACAAAAATATCCACAAAGCAACCATGTCATAAACTTGCAATAGGAGAGCAAGACAAGTGAAGACATGTAATGAACCATACCAAACAAAATAAGCAGAATTGACTGCATTCATTCAACAAACCAAAAAAATTAACAATAAGGAGGATTAATTAGATAATAGGTATAGGCAAGACAGCTCCAACATATAAGGAAAAGGCTAAAGGTTAAAGTGAACATGAAATCAACTAAGAAGTAGCCATAAAAGGAAATGGTATGGCAGTTCCATAGGACAAACAGCCCATACTAGAACCAAGGATGAAAAGATGACACATATCAAGTTCATGTTCTTTTTTTTCTTGGTCAAAAATTTTTGAATGGTAGTAAAGAAAGGGTGTTCAGCATTAAAAAACCTTTATGCTTCAACTCCATATTCCTTGCTCTCTCCAGTTCATATCTACGCTTCCACTCAGCAGCCTCAGCTTGAGCAGAAGCCTTCGCTTCGGCAGCTCTTCGTAATGCCTTTGCAACAGCTAAAACAAATTGAAAATGATATGAGCATCAAACTGCATTCAAGATTATGGGTACAGCAGATAGTTCAGTTGAAAGACAAAACCATGTTCAAGCATAAAATAAACATACTTCTCATGGCCTCAGAGAATTCAATTAGATGATCATCCATCCCCTGTAAAGGAGTTTCTTGAAGAAGTTCTTCCACTGCCTTCTCAGAATGGAAAAGGGGAAGCGAATCCGCAACACTATTTTCTGTTTTTGAGCATGAAATACTTGCATCTCCATCTCCACATGAAGCCTATCAGACAATGCCAAAGTGAAATCACAAAATCGTTTTAAAGTTCAAAACTTGAGTGCTCTATTCTGTCCATTTTAACATATATTCATTCTTCAACATGCCCAACTCAATTTTTTCCCCAAGATTCTTCTCCATTTTTACTCATAGAAAGCTTCCAAGATTTCCTACCAGGACCAGCCCTCTATGCTAGGAATACAAACTGATAAAACGGTTTTAAATTATCTAAATAACCTTTCAAGCACTTGACTTTATAGCTCAACAATGAACTGATAATTCAAAAAGCATTCAAATTCCCAACACAAAACGTAGAAATCAGCTGTAAATAAACGAGGCCATTCATTCAATAAAAAAGCAGTAAACTAAACAACCCAATTGGAGAAAAGAATCACATACAAACCCTAATGACACCATAGCACAAAGACACAGGCAGAATCAAAGCACAAATTAAAGTAAACACGCATCAAACCTATAAAAGCCAAAATGAAAATATGAGTACTTACACTGGAGTCAAACTTGCTGGGAGCCATGGATGACTGATTGAGGATCGAAAAGGAATAAGCTTTTTCAGCGCTCACAACTGAATCGCTTCAACACAAGCCGTTGCAGAGGTGATTAATAAATAGCGGGCTTATAAATCATCTCCCCATGGAGAGAGACGGATACAAAGGGGGGGTTAGGTGGGTTGTCAAGTAGGGACCTCTGGGTGGGGTCCATATAACGCGTGGCTGTCAGAGGGAAACTGGTGATTTTATTTAGGACAACATCGTCGTTCTGCCGCCCACCATTTTTTATCACGGTTATCCTTTAATTCTGATTATTTTAATTATTAAAAATATTAATAATTGATAAAATAAAAAAATATCATGCAAAATTTTAATTAGATTAGATTATATTACATTCACATTAATTATTATTATTTTATCTTAATTAGTACATAATAAAAGAAAATCATTTTTTTATCTCTTATTCTATCTTACAGCATGTCATACGATTCGAATTTATAATTTTTTAATTTCAATAAATAAAAAAAATAATCATTAAATTACCTAACTTTTTAACCATATTAATTATTAAATAGAGATAAATATCTCTTATTTAATAATTTAATATAGTTTAAATAATAAAATAAAGTTTATTTGGTAAAATGATTAATTCATTTATTATATACAGTAACAAATTAAAATTATATAATGATTTATAAAAAGAATCAATGTTTATTTGTTTATCTTTTAAAAATTAAGAAAGAAAATTATAAAATTATATTTGGTAAAATGATTAATTCATTTATTATATAC